TGGTAACCACAAATTTAACTGGGGTTACAATCAACACGAAAGTTACTAGTTTTACAGAGGGTCAGAAGCGCTGAAATGGGTTTCGTATGGGCATGAAATCTTATTGGAATTCAGTTTTTCTGGTTGGCAGAGGTGCTGCTTTCTTGCTGTTCTCAGGGTAGATGAATCCCCATTCCCTTGTGTGTTTGCTTAATATTCTTTTTTCTTTTATTTCCCAAGAGCGTTGTGTCGAGTTGCAGGCCGCGGTTCTTATCAGGTTCTCCTTGTCCGTGGTGTGTGGGGTGTGAGTTCTCGCTCTTGTCTTCCTCGTCAGAAAAGAGATACCATTAGCCCACGATTAACCCAAGACAATAAACCTTATGCATCTTACGGATCCCTGCAGGTAAATCACATCGTCCAAGTCCCTTTGCCACGCAGAAGTTGACGTTTCCACAGTTTCGAAGACGTTAGGATGGGGGACATCTTTGGGGGCCTGTATTCAGACATCGCCACTACTCACCCATGTTCTGATCCGGTCTCCGTCTTCCCATGTATAAAAAAAAGGAAAAAGAAAACAAAATTAGCCAGGTTTGGTGGCACATGGCTGTAGTCCCAGTTCTTCAGGAGGCTAAGGTGGGAGGATTGCTTGAGTCAGGGTGGTTGAAGCTGCCTTGAGCCGAGATCAAACCATTGCACTCTAGCCTAGGCGACAGAGAGAGATCCTGTCCCAAAACAAAACAAAACAAACTGATAAAATTCAACTTTAATACATGCTTTTAATAATATATTTCAGAAAGTTAAGAACCATGTATGAACATAATTATGACTATTTATCAAGCATCAATAACAAATTCATCATATCCCTAGTCCAGTGAGTGTCCCATTCCCTAGATAAATACTGATGAGACTAGGGATATGATTTAACTAGAAGACAGTATTTTCATGAGGTGCATTCTTTCTGAATAAATCTGCAGATATAATGCAATGTCAAAATCCTAACAACAGGGTTCTTTGTTTTTTTAATTATTTTATTGTTTTGTCTTTTATTGAGATAGGGTCTCACTCTGCTGTCCAGGCTGGAGTGCAGTAGTGCAATCGTAGCTCACCGCAGCCTCAAACTGTTGGGCTCAGTCAATCCTGTCACCTCAGCCTCCCAAAGTGCTGGGGCTACAGGTATGGGCTACCAAGCTCAGCCAACCACACATTGTTTTAAAAGCTATTTATCAGCCAACAGAGCTACTTCTTTCCTCCTTACTTTTCTTTTTCAGAGTTTTTGTTATATCTTTTCCTGTTTACACTATCAATTGCTTTTAGAGTCATTCGATTAAATTTTAAAATAATGGAATACACAGAAGTGGACTAAAACCTAATATGTTAATTGAAAATTAATTTTCCTGTTCTACTTTTTGGAAGGAACTCACTATGTACAATCCATCTTTAAGGACTGAGGAGTTATGCTCTGCATCACATGGACTTTTTACTTTTTGTTGCTATTGTGAAGGATTTCTTTTAGTATTTTCATATATGTTATTACCAATATAAAGGACTGATATGACTTGTTGAAGAACTTCTATGTAGCAACTTTATTAAACCCCTTTACCAATTCTATTAGTTTTTCTTCATATTTTATTTCTTTGGGTTGGGTTGTGTGGATTTTTTTTTTTAGGAGATGGGGTCTCACTGTGTTGCCCAGGCTGGTCTCGAAACTCCTGGGTTCAAGTGAGCCTCCCACCTCGGCCTTCCAAAGTGTTACGATTATAGGCATGAGTCACTGTGCCTGGTCCAGTCTGGCAATTTCTACTGTGAGTAATCCCTTTGCCTTTTCTTTCCTAATATTATACATTACATTTCCATTTCCTGTCTTATTACATCAGTCAGGACTTCCAGAAGATTATCAAAGAACAGCAGTGATCACAGATCTAGTGAACATCCTTGGATATTTGTCTGTTGAGACTCTCAGTTCTTTTGGAAAACTTCTCTACTCCATACGTACAGTCCTCGTGGGACGAGACCAGTCACAGGGCACCTAATTCTACCCTGTAGGTACAAAGCTGGGTGCATGGTCCAGGGCAAGCCAAACATCAGACCCTATTTTCCCACCCAGGGCGATTGTTCCAGAGGTGGGCAAGAAACCTAAGCAGGGCCAACTAGATTTTCTCCCAGTTTTTTGTTTGTTAGTTTGGAGCCAGAAGAGAGGAGGGGAGGGCCTTACTTTCTGGTTTAACAGATGGGAAAGATAGAAACGAGGGCATCAGAGGCCACCCACCGCTGTAACCTGCACAGGAAGAGAAAGGTTGCCTGCAGAGGAGGAAGAGAAACCACGGAAAGAATCCCAACGGGCAAGGAGAAGGGAGGAGAGGGACCGAGATGGGGAGAGGGACGATCTTGTTTGTGTGTGTGTGTTTTTTTAGATGAATTCTCCCTCTGCCACCAGGCTGGAGTGCAGTGGCGAGATCTCGGCTCACTGCAACCTCCGCCTCCCGGGTTCGAGCAATTCTCCCGCCTCAGCCTTCCTAGTAGCTGGGATTACAGGCGCGCGCCAGGGCGCACAGCTAATTTTCGGTAGAGACGGTGTTTCACCATGTTGGCCTGGTGTTTCACCACGCCGAATGATCTTGTTTTTAAATCCCTGAATCCGGCCGGGCGCGGTGGCTCACGCCTGTAATCCCAGCACTTTGGGAGGCCGAGACGGGAAGATCACGAAGTCAGGAGATCGAGACCATCTTGGCCAACACGGTGAAACCCCTTCTCTACTAAAAATACAAAATAAATTAGCCGGGCGTAGTGGTGGGCGCCTGTAGTCCCAGCTACTTCGAAGGCAGGAGAATGGCGTGAACCCGGGAGGCGGAGCTTGCAGTGAGCCGAGATGGTGCCACTGCACTCCAGCCTGGGGGACAGAGTGAGACTCCGTATCAAAAAGAAAAAAAGAAAAAAAAAAATTCCTGAATCCACACTTCCTGATTATGTGAGCCAAAAAATTTGTTTTCCGTTTTCTTTACTTACATTGGATCACTTACAATGGAAGGAATTTTCACTATTACAGAAATCATTCTTGTCCTGGTAACTGACACTTATTAGGTAATGGCTGGTGCCAGGCTGAGGGCAGGTGGCACTGACTCAGGTCCTCCGCCCAGGCAACCCCAGTCTTCATAGCTGGCGACGAGATGTTCTTTCACGTTTGCAGATGAGGAAGCTGAGGCTCTGGGAGGAAAGCGCGCTGCCCACGCCCTTCTGGGCAACAGCCTCTTGTACTCCCACAGCAGGCTGACGGATAAACTTCCAACACGACCAGCGGGCACCAACTGTGCAACTTGGCAAATAGGAGCATGTTGCTCTATCCTGGTAGATTCTAAGTTCTCTAATGGAACAACTGATGAAAGGAGAGGAGTATGCAACCAGCATCAAAACCAGCATCCAAACCAGCATCAAAGCGTGTACCCAACTCAATCTGTTCAATCTGCACAGTAAATGCGCCCCACCCATACACCCCGCGGGGTGCTAACCTAGTCACCGCACGAGGCCTCTGAGTCCTTCCACGCCAGGTCATTCAGAACCTGAAACTCCCAGCGGAGGTGCAGAGCCGGGGTGAGTCCTGGCGTCCGCGAGACTTGGAGGACCCAGCCCCCGGAGCGCATTCCGTTAGTTTGCAGAGCTTTTTCAAACTTTGCCTTCCAAGTGCAGGAGTTCCTTGGTCTTTGCAAGACCCGCAGGCGTCCGCAGTGGTGCAGAAAAAGGTGCAAAGGGTGCGCCCAAGGTCGCAGGCTGCCTGGCTGCGAGCTCAGTCGGGCCCCCGGGCACCAGGCGCGGGGCGGGCTCTGGGCTGGCTGCCGGGGCGGGGACTGCAGAGCGGGCTGCGTTGCGCGGTCCCCACTGCCTGCCTCCGCGCTACCCGGCCGCAGCGCGCCAGTCACATGGAGGATCCTGAGGAGCCCGCGCCCGTGCGCGGAGGCCCGGAGGCCACCCTTGAGCTCCGTGGGTCGCGCTGCCTGCGGCTGTCCGCCTTCAGAGAGGAGCTGCGGGCGCTCTTGGTCCTGGCGGGCCCGGCGGTGAGTAAGGTGGCCTCCGTGGGAGGCCGGTCCCGGCGAGCTGGGGGCCTGGTGAGTCCTGCCTCCGCGGGTGACTTGGCGGAGTTTGGGGATAGAGCCAGCTGGCCGCGGGCGGGCGCCGGGGAGCATAGTGCCAGGAGCCGGACAGGCACCCCAGCTCCTCCGCCTGCGTCCCGGCCGCCCTCCGCTCCGCACCACCCGACTGGGAGCCCCGCGGGGCACTGCGGGCACGGCTGGCATGCACCTAGGCGCACGTTGGCCCGGAGAGGCCGGCGGCTCCCGCCTCCTGCGCCAGGAGACACCGGGGAGCTGGGACCTTTGCGCCTAACGGGGCTCAAGCAGGTCCAGGCTGCATTTGCATCCGGGGCTGCCTTCTCTGGGAACTGATTTCAATCAACAAAGCACAAGTTGCCTGAACTTCAAAACACGAGGGAACTTGTTTCTTTGAAAATTAGCTGTAAAAAGTTTGGAAGCTCAGCGATCTAAATAATCCCGAGGCATGGAGGAGGAGGTGCATGGTCTGTCGTGGACTTAGAGCTGCGAAATGATTTCTTCAGAATTAAGTCAACCTCCACCGAGGAAACCAGAGGCATCCTGTACCACCCTCTCCCTGCCAGTAGTATGTATGTAACAGAAAAAAGGGGTTTTAATGTGGTTCTTTGTGGGATTGAGGTGTTCTTATCTGTGGGATTCTTTTCTTTTTAATCATTAGGTTAGGGCTGTTTCTGCCTTGTCTCCTAAAAGTAATGTGGTTTTTAAAACCACAAAAATATAATCCTATCCACGTTCTCCTGCCAGCTTGGGTGGTTTTCAAACCGAGAGGGTAGGACGCTGCACAAGAAGCGACTGGTATGCACTAAAGGCGTGAATAAGCTTTTGACTTTGAGGCCCACATTCTGCACCTGCGCGGGCTGAGGGGGGCCGCTGTGCCCCTGGAGTGGGGACTCGGTGGTTTGTGGGATATTGTGGCACACGCTGTGGTGTGCAGGACAGCAAGAGTAATGCCGAGGTCAAAGCCATGGAATGAAGATCCATCAGCGATGCTTTCTTACAGACCAGAAAGAACTCATGATTTGGGGCCGGGCACGGTGGCTCACGCCTGTAATCCCAGCACTTTGGGTGGCTGAGGCGGGTGGATCACTTGAGGTCAGGAGTTTGAGACCAGCCTGGGCAAAATGGTGAAACTCCGTCTCTACTAAAAACACAAAAATTAGCCAGACGTGGTGGCGGGCGCCTGTAGTTCCAGCTACTCCAGAGGCTGAGGCACAAGAATCGCTTGAACCTGGTAGGCGGAGGTTACAGTGAGCCAGATCATGCCACTGCACTCCAGCCTGGACGACAGAGTGAGACTTGGTCTCAAAAAAAAAAAAACAAAAACACCTCATGGCCGGGCCGGTGGCTCACGCCTGTAATCCCAGCACTTTGGGAGGCAGATGCAGGCGGATCACGAGGTCAAGAGATCGAGACCATCCTGGCTAACCAGGTGAAACCCCGTCTCTACTAAAAATGCAAAAAAAAAAAAAAAAAAAAAATTAGCCAGGTGTGGTGGCAGACGCCTGTAATCCCAGCTACTTGGGAGGCTGAGGCAGGAGAATCGCTTGAACCTGGGAGGTGGAGGTTGCAGTGAGCCGAGATAGCGCCATTGCACTCCAGCCTGGGCAAAAAGAGCAAAACTCTGTCTCAAAAAAACAAAAATAAAGAAACACTTCATGATTTGGAATCTCAAGACCTGGGGCTGCATGCCCTGCTTTGACCTCCGAAAGTAAGTCAGGAAGCAGCTGTGCGGATTGAAACAGCCTCTAGACCTCTTCTGGTCTCTGCGTATTCATCTGTAAAATGGAGATAATAATCGTGTCTTGTCCTAACACTCCCTCACAGAGCTGCTGTAAGAAGGGGCTTTCTAAGGCTATTATTGTTTTATTAATTTTTTTTTTGAGACAGGGTCTTGATCTGTCGGCCAGGCTGGCGTGCAGTAGTGCGATCACAGCTCACTGCAGCCTCAACTTCCAAAGCAGTGGAGACTACAGGCACACACCACCATGCCTGGCTAATTTTTGTATTTTGGGTTAGAGATAGGGTCTCCCTTTGTTGCCCATTGCTTGAATTCCTGGGCTCAAGCAATCCTCCTGCCTTCGGCCTCCCAAGAGCAGGGATTATAAGCATGAGCCACCTTGCCCAGCCTGTTATTGCTTTAATAGTATAGCAGTAATAATAATAACAGGGCAGGTTTCTGAAATCCAGCCCTCCTAGTAGCCTGATCCCCTTGATGTGGGGTGCCTCTCCAGGTCTCCAGGGACGAGCGCTGGATTGACGCGCCGGGGACCTCACCTTTCTCTTTGTATGTGCATGCATGTATACCACTGTGTTTATTAAAAATGTCATGCATATTTACTGTAGAAAAAAATAGAAAACCAAGACCAGCAAAAGGAAAACACCATCTGAAATCTCACCACTGGGCCGGGCGCGGTGGCTCAAGCCTGTAATCCCAGCACTTTGGGAGGCCGAGACGGGCGGATCACGAGGTCAGGAGATTGAGACCATCCTGGCTAACACAGTGAAACCCCGTCTCTACTAAAAATACAAAAACTTAGCCGGGCGAGGTGGCAGGCGCCTGTAGTCCCAGCTACTCGGGAGGCTGAGGCAGGAGAATGGCGTGAACCTGGGAGGCGGAGCTTGCAGTGAGCTGAGATCCGGCCACTGCACTCCAGCCTGGGTGACAGAGCGAGACCCCATCCCCAAAAAAAAAAAAAAGAGAAATCTCACCACTGAGAGGTAATTTGGGACTGGAATTTCCTTCCAGTCCTTTGTGCATGTGTGTCTCTGCTTTGTGAAAATGTGATTGTAGAGTTTTGCTACCTGTTTTAGTCTTTCATGAAGTGTATGTGGACCCGCCTGGGTCTGTCTCCCATCTCTAATCCCATCTGCTGTAAAGTTTTCTGTTTGCTAAAGGGCATGGGATAAGGAGAGACCATCCCCTTCTTTTCTCATGCTCATTGTCCAATTCTACTCCAAGTGTCCAACATAACATGAGGAAGATGCCCTATCTGGCTCTCCTCTCTGTAATTTTCTCTCTTGTTCGCCATCTCCCTTCCAGACCTCTCAAGTTAACCCTGACCCTTGAGGTCTCACTGGGCTTTAAATGAGGCCTTTGTAAAGAGAATAACCCATAACACAATGGAAAGTGTGAGCCGAATGGTGCTCACTTCTCAAAAGACTTGTCCATTTTATCTTGGAGAGAGCTTGAGGAAGACTGGATTTGCAAGGGAAGGAATGTGCAGATACCTGGCCTCAGGTACTCCAGCTGTGCCTCCTCTTTGTCATCAGCCTCTCATCACCTGGCTGAATCGAGAAACTTCAAACAGCAAAAGTTCTGAAAAGTAACACCAAAGGTGGACCCCCGGGCATTGCCCAGGATGTAACAGAGGTGGGATAGCCTAGGCCCCAACTCAGGGAAATGCTTCCACTTGTATGGGAAGGAGCTGGCGGACCTTCTAGGGCTGCAGGGCGGAAATATCAGATAAGACAGGCAGGTTGAGGAGGGTGAGGTGGGGGATCTGGAGAGACCCACTTTACCCAGCACACACAAAGGAAAAAATGCAGGCTGGCCTTTTGAATTGTATCCTGAAGGCAATGGAGAAGATATTGATCAGGAAGTGGTTACTGACACCAGATTCTGCAGGAGAAGCCTGGTCAGAGACAGACAAGCCTGGGCCCGAGGAAGAGAAGACCTACAGGGATGGCGGTTCCTCCCTTTCAAAGGATGAGAGAAAGTAGTCAAAGATGGCAGGAGCTGGATAGAGGAAAGCCGGGTGAGGTCCGGCCCCCGCCGCCTCTACTCCCCGTTTCCTCCTCCAATCCGTCCTCACCAAGGCCTTTGGCTTTAACTCCTTAAATACCTCTCAGAGGGATCCACTTTTTAAATGCCCATCTGAGCTTATGCCTCCTGCTCAGAACCTTTTCCTTGGTCCTGCAAAGCCCTCTATGGCCAGGGCCTGGTCAGCCCTCCAGCCTCATCTCTTGTCCCTATCTCCTGGTTACACCCTCCACCCAGCCTCCATGCAGTGCCTCAGCCTGGAAAGTCCTCCCCTACAGACAAGTCTCTGGTACCCAACTATATGACATTGACTTGCTCATCATGCAGGTTTCAGCTCCACTTCATCTCCCCCAGAAACCTCTGAATTCTCTGTTGCACCCCATAGCGCATCACACAAATGTCTTGAGCTGTGTAATTTATTGCGTTTTGAACATCTTTCCCTACTCTACAGATGCTCCCTGGCTTACGATGGGGTTACGTGCACTGAAAGTATCATTAAGTCGAAATGCCTCTAAAGGATGAGATCATGGATTGCAAGAGTCCTGACTTGCGTGGGACGGCTGTGACTGGCTTGCCACCCCTATGCTGGCCAATTATCTTCAGTTCTTTTCCCCAGAAGCAGGAGACACATATGGCCGTTTTGTACTCATGATGGGATGGGAAAACACAAAACAATACCCAAAAAATGCTGGCAACACAGTCTACTGTAGAGTGTCAGTTGCCTGCACTTGTGATGGCAGGGCTGATGGGCAGCTGTGGCCCACTGCCCTGACAGGCACTGCAAGTCTGAGATTACACGTTACTAGCCTGGGAAAAGATCAATATCCCAAATTCCAAGTAGAGTTTCTACTGAATGTCCATTGCTTTCGCACCACTGCAAAGTTGAAAAATTGGAAGTCAGAACCATCTGTACTGTGGGTCCCACGGGGCAGAAATGAAGTAATGGTGTCTAACTCACACCTGTTCCCCCAGTGCTTGGATGTACTTCGTGCTCCAAAGACAGTGGCTGTATGTAACCATCTGAGTTGAGAGTCAGGTGGCTGGGCTGATTGTGAAACCTCCTGGGCTGTGTGTCCTCGCATGTAAAGGAAGGGGGGCTGTCCCAGGTGACCTCTCAGCTTCTTTCCAGTGAGTGAACTTTCAGCAGTCATGGGAGGGGGTAGGAGAGGCTGTCTGGAGGTGCCTGACAGGTGCTCTCCCTGGAGAGCAACTTCTTTTTTTTTTTTTTGAGACGGAGTCTCGCTCTGTCGCCCAGGCTGGAGTGCAGTGGCACGATCTCGGCTCACTGCAAGCTCCACCTCCCGGGTTCACGCCATTCTCCCGCCTCAGCCTCCGAGTAGCTGGGACTATAGGCGCCCGCCACCACGCCCGGCTAGTTTTTTGTATTTTTAGTAGAGACGGGGTTTCACCATGTTAGCCAGGATGGTCTCGATCTCCTGACCTCGTGATCCACCCGCCTCGGCCTCCCAAAGTGCTGGGATTACAGGCTTGAGCCACCGCGCCCGGCCTGGAGAGCAACTTCTAAAGCCACCAGGCATTGAAAGTCTTTATCTGGCTGCCAAGTTTGCTTATTGTTGTCCAGCCAAAATCTGAGCAGGGTCGCTGTGACAAGAAGGGACAGAAGCACAGTCAGTCTGGAAGTTTCTTTGTTTGAGACAGGGTCTTGCTCTGTCACCCAGGCTGGAATGCAGTGGTGTGAGTGGCTCACTACAGCCTCAAACTCCTGAGCTCAAGTGATCCTTCATGCCTCAGGCTCCTGAGTGGCTGGGATCACAGGTGCGTGCCACCATGCATGCTATTTTTGGTATTTTTTTGTAGAGATGTGGTCTCTACAAAATGTTGCCTGGGCTGGTCTTGAACTCCTGGGCTCAAGCAGTCCTCCCGCCTCAGCCTCCCCAAGTGCTGCGATTGCAGGTATGAGCCACCGTGCCCGGCCCAGTCTGGCAATTTCTGTCATCCATTCAGCTCTGTCCAAGCCACTGCCAGTTCAGGCTGTTCTTCAGACAGCAGCTGCTGAGACATCTAGCGGAACAGGCCTTTGTCCAGAATTGGTTCATTCCTTGGGCACAGAAATACGCTCTGTGATAGCACAGTCCCAGAGGGTCTGGAGCACTCTCAAAGTGTGACCCTGGACCACATGCATCATGCCTGGATGTGTATGAGGGAGCGTGGGGATATTCTGAAATGAAGATTCCTCAGCCCCACGGACCTCCTGGGCCTTTTCTTTCTTTCTTTTTTTTTTTTTTTTGAGATGGAGTCTCTGTCGCCCAGGCTGGAGTGTAGCGGTTCGATCTCTACTCACTGCAACCTCTGCCTCCTGGGTTCAAACAATTCTCCTGCCTCAGCCTCCCTAGTAGCTGGGATTACAGGTGGGCACCACTGCGCCCAGCTAATTTTTTATATTTTTAGTAGAGACGGGGCTTCACCATGTTGGTCTGGAACTTCTGACCTCAGGTGATCCACCCGCCTCGGCCTCCCAAAGTGTTGAGATTACAGGTGTGAGCCACTGAGCCCAGCCTAACCTCCTGGGGCTTGCGATGGGCCAGGGCAAAGCCTCCCAGGTGACCCTTGTGTACATGATCCACAGTCTGTGGCCAAGTGTTCACCCAAAGGGCTTGAAACCAAGATCTGAGAAGAGGTTAGTAAATCTGGACTGAAGCCGAGATCCCTGGCACGAACTTTCAGGATGGGCCGGCTGCGTGAGGCTGCCCGACTCAGGGTTGTTGCTGTAACCCCGGCAGAGCCACAGCGGCTCTCAGAAAACTATTTTTGCTGGCATTGACATTGAAGGTGCATCTCACATGGATTGGTCTAACTCAGCTCAACTTCCTGGACTTTTGTATCCAAGACATCTAATGATTCCCACCCTTGGACGGGCCTCCACCCAAGTGAGAAAGATGTTCAGGGCGGTGCAATTTGTGATGATAAAATCTCGGTGGCACTCCAAAGATCGGGTAGTAGGGGAGACCGAGCACGTTTCCACGCGAAGCCATGGAAATCAGCTCACAGGTGGCCCGCAGGGAGACAGGGAACCGTGGAGTGGAAACGCGATGTTCCGTGGGAAAGGAGAAGACAGATTCTGTGAACACAACCGCTTGTGACAGATGATATGCAAAAGCTTAAAGCACAGTGAGCTGAAAAGATTTGGAAGTGATGCCGAGTTTACAAATAAAAAGGACCCTGTGGCCTTTAAAAGTACATGAATTCACAATTTAAAGAGAGACCAAGCTCCACCTAATGGGGACATCTGTAAGGGTGGTGACAATGCCTAAATCATGTGGCACCGTTCCCAGTACAGGCCTACGGGGCGTCCATTGGCTCTAGGTTTAGATTCTACAGCATCTGGTTCTTCATCCCAGCCCTTTTTATGGACACCTCCACGCCGCCCCCTTTTTATTCCCATCTTCTGTCTCATTTTGGCTTACTCACGCAGAACATTGCAAAAGTGCCCCTCACGTTCAGTAGTGGGGGACTGTTGGCGATTAAATTCACATTAGGCTTCTGTGGTAGTGAGAGAGGTGCCTGGATCATGTAGGAGTTGATACAAGAAAGATAATTCTCCTACAACCACACACACACACACACACACACACACCCCTAGGGTTAGGAACAGGCTTTGCATGCTGTGAAGTTCTGGGCCCATCACAGGAGTTGAAAATGGTCTCTCCCCAGATGTGGATTCTAGGGAAGAAAAGAGGGAGATCATTGGAACCATCATGGCTCGGGGGCCTGGTGAGGTCCTGATGTAGCCATTTTGGGTTGGCTGCAGAGCTGGCAGATGGGCTGTGTGTGAGCCTGGTGGAGGTCCAATGAAGCTAAGTCATTGGAACCCTAAAAGAGGGGCCTTTCTATGGGCTCAGCACAGGATTCTGTTCTTCTTGAGGGCGGCGAGAGGCAGCCTTGCGGCTGGACCAGCAGCAGCATCACCAACTCTGGGGTACCAGCTTCAGTGAGGTCCCCATGGGGCAGATGCAGGCAGCGGCGGCAGCAGCAAATCCTTAGGCACCCATTCTCTCCTAGGGAGCAGGGATCAGGCGAACCCCCCATTTTGGGCCATGCCAGGGGAGAGGGGCTTCCTCAAGAAAGATACTGGACGGCCTGGGTCTAGTGGGGGGGGAGGGGGCAGGAGGTGATTTTAAGTTAACTTCCAGAAATAAGCGCATTATCCAATCGTGTAGGGAAAGCACTGTGGAGCAATTCATAGAATTGCCCCCTGGAATTTCGAGGAAGAATGGTTCCATATTCCAGAATTTGCCCTCACATCTGAGGCTTCGTAGATTGCAAGGTGTTCAGCAGGCCTGTAATGTTTCACCCTGAGAGTCCGGATCCCACTGGGACTCCAAATGGACGATCTCATCGCTACCTCCGGCTCCTCCGGTCTACGGACTTCCTTGCTGGATTGAGTTCTTGTTGTTGAAGGCCGCATTCCCTCCAGTCTGCACTAGGAATCTTGCATAACAAGGGGGTTATCCCAGAAGGCCGCCTCTGCAGATTTCAGAGGAAATTTAATGTGATCTATGGCTTGAGAAACTGAAGCGAAAAACCAAAAAGGCAGGTTGGGCGCGGTGGCTCATGCCTGTAATCCCAGCGCTTTGGGAGGCCGAGGCGGGCGGATCATGAGGTCAGTGGTTCGAGACCAGCCTGACTAACATGGTGAAACCCCGTCTCTACTAGAAATCCAAAAATTAGGTGGGCGTGGTGGCGCCCGCCTATAATCCCAGCTGCTCAGGAGGCTGAGGCAGGAGAATCACTTGAACCCGGGAGACGGAGGTTGCAGTGAGCCAAGATCGCGCCACTGCACTCCAGTCCGGGTGACAGTGTGAGACTCTGTCTCAAAAAACAAAAAAAGAGGCTGGGCGGGGTGGCTCAAGCCTGTAATCCCAGCACTTTGGGAGGCTGAGATGGGTGGATCACGAGGTCAGGAGATCGAGACCATCCTGGCTAACATGGTGAAACCCCGTCTCTACTAAAAATACAAAAATTAGCCAGGCATGGTAGCGGGCGCCTGTAGTCCCAGCTACTCGGGAGGCTGAGGCAGGAGAATGGCGTAAACCCGGGAGGCGGAGCTTGCAGTGAGCTGAGATCCGGCCACTGCACTCCAGCCTGGGCGACAGAGCGAGACTCCGTCTCAAAAAAAAAAAAAAAGAAAAAAGAAAAACTGAAAAGGCTGGGAAGTTCTCAGAAAAAGTGATTCTGACCCAGTGGTTGCAAATACATGTTTTAATATTTCAAAAAGCCTCCCATCCCCAGCCCCAGAAATTACACGTTTGCCTGTGAAAGGTGGCAGAGGCTCACTGAAGTCAGATTTCTTTACTTCTGACTGGACTTGTTGGGTCGGGGTCACCCTTGGGGCCCCAGGCTTCCCTGCGATGGTGGGCACTCACCTCCCTTTCCGTTCCCCTCTCTTCCCAGTTCTTGGTTCAGCTGATGGTGTTCCTGATCAGTTTCATAAGCTCCGTGTTCTGTGGCCACCTGGGCAAGATGGAGCTGGACGCAGTCACGCTGGCGATCGCGGTACGTATGGGCTTTCTGGCAGGTCTACCAACACTGTCTGTGTTTGTCTCCTGCTGCTACTATAACAAATCACCAAAATGTAGTGGTCGAAACCTGCACAGACTTATTCTCTTACAGTGCTGGAGTGCAGAAGTCTGAAGTGGGTTTCATGGCCTAAAATCAAGGTGCTGCAACTTTAATTCCCCTATGCCGTGTAACCTTGCAGATCCCTAGGTTCTGGGGATTGGGATGGGGACATCTTGGAGGGCATTATCCTGTCTACTACATCTTCTCATTTCTATTTTTTTAATTCGATTTTGTTTTTTTGTTTTGAGACGAAGTCTCACTCCGTCACCCAGGCTGGAGTGCAATGGTGCAATCTCGGCTCACTGCAACCTCCGCCTCCCGGGTTCAAGCGATTCTCCTGTCTCAGCCTCCTGAGTAGCTGGGGTTACAGGCAGGCGCCACCACACTTGGTTAATTTTTGTATTTTTAGTAGAGATGGGGTTTCACCATGTTGCCCAGGCTGGTCTTCAACTCCTGAGTTCAAGCAATCCACCTGCCTTGGCCTCCGAAAGTGCTGAGATTACAGACGTGAGCCACTGCGCCCAGCCTCACATCATCTTATTTCTTTTTTTTTTTTTTTTCAGACGGAGTCTCCCTCCAACCCAGGCTGGAGTGCAGTGGTGTAGTCTCGGCTTACTGCAACCTCTGCCTCCTGGGTTCAAGCACTTCTCCCGTTTCAGCCTCCTGAGTAGCTGGTACTACAGGTGCCTGCCACCACGTCTGGCTAATTTTTGTATTTTTAGTAGAGACGGGGTTTCACCTTGTTGCTCAGGCTGGTCTTGAACTCCTGACCTCAGTGATCCACCCGCCTCGGCCTCCCAAAGTGCTGGGATTACAGGCATGAGCCACAGCACCCGGCCTACATCATCTTATTTCTAATCCATGGAACTCGTTCCCACTCTTGGTCCCACAGCTTGGGGAGGGGAACAGTAAAAGGGGCGCTGAAGTCTGACTTCCTCAGTGGAACTGACTCCCCCCATGCCCACCCCTCAGTTGTCTGTCTTACTGAGAGTCCTAATCTAGAAAGGAGTCTGGAAGGTGACAGTCTAGATCTTTGTGTCCAAATTTAAAATTGGAAAGATCTGCAAATCCTCTCCGTATAGTAGATGTGAACTGCCCCAAACCAGAGACATGTCATCAGTCTCAGCCAGGAATTGTCAACTGGGCACGCAAGACCAAAGGGTTTGGTTTGTCTAGTTAGGGTATTTCTAGAAAAGTGGATTCAGTGGCTCTCGGGCAGGTGTATGTTCCCCTTTCCTTTCCTCCTGCCCTGATGGAGACACAGTTTCACTTGATCTGCCTGGTCTCACCAGGCGTTTGAGTTTGCTACCCATGAACTATGCAAGATGCCTGGGAACTAGTCACCAAGTATATGTGGAACTAGCTATGAGTACATATGGCTTATTTATTTATTTATTTATTTATTTATTTATTTAGAAATGGAGTCTCGCTTTGTCGCCCAATCTGGAGTGCAATGGTGCGATCTTGGCTCACTGCAGCCGCCACCTCCGGGGTTCAAACGATTCTCCTGCCTCAGCCTCCCAAGTAGCTGGGATTACAGGTATGCACTACCACACCCAGCTAATTTTTTGTATTTTTAGTAGAGATGGGGTTTCACCATGTTGGTCAGGTGGGTCTTGAACTCCTGATTTTGTGATCCGCCTTCCTCGACCTCCCAAAGTGCTGGGATTACAGGCGTGAGCCACTGCCCCAGCATGACTTATTTTATTTTGGCTATAGTGGGCAACATGGACAAATCCCAGGCTTAATTATCCATTTTGTTTTTAAGTATTGTATTTGCAATAGAGGAGAAGACAGAAATGCACTTAGCAAGACTCAGCAGATTCTCTTTGGCCAAGGAATTGCAGGATGTGGCCAAGGACTTATCAAAGTCAGTGCTTCCAGGCCAGGTGCAGTTTGGGCTGTTGTCCACAGGTTCCCTGCTGTAGAATCAAGTGGAGGTACCAGATTCCAGATAGGGAGTGCATCAGACATCCTGCGATACCACTCCCTGGTTTGGGGGGCACTGCCCTGGGTTCCCCAAAGCTTCAGGGTTTGCTGCTAACCCTGGTGAAGGTGAGCATACCTGGAAAGCCTCTGGCACTAGCCTGGACTTCAGACTGCCTCTGCACTCCCAGTGCCCCCCAAGGTACGGACACAGGCCATGCTAGGTCTCCAGCAGGTGGACTTTTCTGTGCTACTGTGCCATTGCATTCCCAGAAGAAGTGTCCCTGATTGCTGAAATTGGAGAGCAAAGTGACTTTTTTTTTTTTGAGACGGAGTCTTGCTCTGTCACCCAGGCTGGAGTGCAGTGGCACGATCTTGGCTGACTGCAAGCTCCGCCTCCCGGGTTCACGCCATTCTCGTGCCTCAGCCTCCCGGGTTCACGCCATTCTCGTGCCTCAGCCTCCCGGGTTCACGCCATTCTCGTGCCTCAGCCTCCCGAGTAGCTGGGAATACAGGCGACCGCCACCATGCCCGGCTAATTTTTTGTATTCAGGAGGAGAGACAGCGCCTCACCGCGTGAGCCAGGATGGTCTCCATCTCCTGACCTCGTGATCCGCCCGCCTCAGCCTCCCAAAGTGCTGGGATTATAGGCGTGAGCCACCGCGCCTGGCGCAAAGTGACTTTTTAAAAGAGAAAGGCTGGGTAATCGCCTCTAGCCTACACTTTTCCGCTTCTAAACTTGTACGTGTCCTTAACCCAGCCAAGATCTTGTAACCGTAATAGGTTCGTCGACTTGCTCGTGGCAAGTCAATAATCCAAGTCGCCAGGTTGCAACAGTGAAAGAGGTTTAATTGTAAGGCCACTGAATGAGGAAACCTCAAATCAGTCTCTCCAAGGAGTTTGGGGCTAGAGTTTTTAAGGGTTTTCGAATGGGCTGAAGTGTGATTGTTGTTTGGTTGAAGAGTGCAGCGTGAAGTCATGGGACAGGGAGATGAAGAAACTGTGTTCTCGTGCTGATTCAGTTCCTCTATGTGGGTCTTCAAACTGGTTGGTGTCAGATGTTTCACTGGAATTTAGGCTCTGCTTAATAATTTTATTTTATTTTATTTTTTTGAGACAGAGTCTCGCTCTGTCGCCCAGGCTGGAGAGCAGTGGCACAATCTCAACTCACTGCCACTTCTGCCTCCCGGGTTCAAGTGATTCTCTTGGCTCAGCCTCCTGAGAAGCTGGGAATACAGGCGCCCGCCACCATGCCCGGCTAATTTTTGTATTTTTAGTAGAGATGGGGTTTCACTGTATTGGTCAGGCTGGTCCCAAACTCCTGACCTCGTAATCTGCCCACCTAGGCCTCCCAAAGTGCTGGGATTACAGGCATGAGCCACCACACCCGGCCAGATTTTTTTTTTCTTTTTTGAGTCAGGGTCTCCATTGCCCAGGCTAGAGTGCAGTGGTGCTCTCTACTGCACTCTAGAAGCTCACTGTAATCTCTGCTTCTTGGGCTCAAGTGATCCTTTCACCTCAGCCTCCAGAAATAGCTGGGACTGCAGGAGTGTGCCACCATGCCTGCTAGTTTTTGTACTTTTGTAGAGATGATGTTTCATCATGCTGCCTAGGCTGGTCTCAAACTCCTGGGCTCAAGCAGTCCTCCCACCTTGGCCTCCCAAAGTGCTGGGATTACAGGCATAAACCAACAATTCTTAAACCTGGCCAACAATTCTTAAACAATAGCCTTATGATTGTAACACCAGAAATCCCATCTGTAGGAACAGTGGGGATGCACATGGCCAGTGTCTGGTAGGAACAGTGGGGATGCACGTGGCCAGTGTGTCTGGTAGGAACAGTGGGGATGCACCTGGCCAGTGTGTCTGGTAGGAACAGTGGGGATGCACGTGGCCAGTGTGTCTGGTAGGAACAGTGGGGATGTACATGGTCAGTGTCTGGTAGGAACAGTGGGGATGCATGTGGCCAGTGTGTCTGGTAGGAACAGTGGGGATGTACATGGTCAGTGTCTGGTGCCACATGACTTTCAGTTATAAGGAAGTGGGTCAAAGTGCAGCCTGATTAATACTGTAGTTCTGGGCCGGGCGGGGTGGCTTATGCCTGTAATCCCAGCACTTTGGGAGGCCAAGGTGGGCAGATCATGAGGTAAAGAGATTGAGACCATTCTGGCTAACATGGTGAAACCCCGTCACTAAAAATACAAAAATTAGCCGGTTGTGGTAGCACGTGCCTATAGTGCCAGCTACTCGGGAGGCTGAGGCAGGAGAATCCCTTGAACCCGGGAGGTGGAGGTTGCAGTGAGCCGAGATTGCGCCACTGCGCTCCAGCCTGGGTGACAGAGACTGTCTCAAAAAAAAAAAAAAAGTATATGTATACACACACACACACACACACATATATAAAATAGTTCTGTCCAGAATTCTTGATAAACCTGTGAGAATGGCTTCGGTCTGAGCGGGGTCCAGGCAGCTAACAAAATTGGTAAAATTGACTTGTGAATGATGAAGGAGGAGCTTTGCAGGTTCTCATCAACAGACACAGGGATTTTGTCTTCCTTTCCTCCTTTCACTCTACAGGGCCTTATCTTTGGGTTTATTTGCAGGTTATCAATGTCACTGGTGTCTCAGTGGGATTCGGCTTATCTTCTGCTTGTGACACCCTCATCTCCCAGGTAAATGGCAGTGGTCACACGCTCACAGGGACCTCAGACATCTTTTCTCAAGTGTGGATGGAAGAGCCCCACTGGCAGGAAGAGCCCAGCAGCCAGCACCTGCAGCGCCTATCGGCCGGCAGCTCCTCTTCTCCTGGCCTGCTTTCTTTGAAATGTCACTGGGTTTCTTTCAGCTGTGTCAACTACTTTTTGTCTGCACAACTGCCTTACACTATATTTTGATCACATAGGGGACATTTTGTAAAATTCCCTTCTATTGCTCCCTACGTTTGAATTTGCTATAGTTCTGTGGCTCTCAAAATTGAGCGTGCATTGAACTTGGAGGGCTTGTTAAAACCCAGCTTGCCTGGCCCCACCCAGTGGCAGGCTGGTAAATGTTCACCAGGTCTTGGGTGAAAGGGGAAGGAGGGTGAAAGCGGAAGGAGGGAAACACATGACTGGCGGTGTTTGCCAATTCCAGGGGTGTAAGTAGTTCCTCTGGTTAATTTCAGACTACCAGAGATGTCACTGAACCTGGAGCTGGAGGAGATGCGCACAACTTGAAAAGATGTGCAAAATTTGGCTTGTTTTGTTTTGAGACGGGGGCTTGCTCTGTCGCTCAGGCTAGGCTGCAGTGGCACACCCATTGCTTACTGCAGCCTCGAACTCCTGAGCTCCAGCGATCCTCTTGCCTCAGCCTCTCAAGTACCTGGTATTACAGGCATGCACCACTACACCCAGCTAATTTTTTGTATTTTTTGTAGAGATGGGGTTTTGCCATGTTGCACAGGCTGATCTCAAACTCCTGGGCTCAAGCAATCCTCCTACCTCAGCCTCCCAACATGTTGGGATTATAGGCATGAGCCCCTTCTGCCTCCCGGTTCAAGCAGTTCTCCTGCCTCAGCCTCCCGCGTAGCTGGGATTACAGGCCGCCCGCCACCATGCCTGGCTAAGTTTTGAACTTTTTAGTAGAGACGGGGTTTCATTCATGTTGGCGAGGCTGGCCTCAAACTCCTGACCTCATGGGATCTGTCACCTC